AATAGCTCTGAACTATCCACTTCTCTGGGGCTCTCTCTAATGGGAGGCCCTTCTGCCAGTAGTGGTGTGAGCAGGCAATTGCAGGGCTGCACCTTTACCGCCACCTTACGCGGGCCATTCGGACTTAAAATGTCAAATACAATGATGCCAGCAGATCACTTTCCAGACGCTAATGCCACGGTCTCTGAAGAGGTGAAGTGGGGAATATTGGTTTCACGTGAATGCCTAGATGCAGCTCGTGATAGATTCACACATTGTTTAGGAGTACACATGCTTAAAGAAGAGGCCATTGCTATCATTATTATAGTAAATACTAAAATTACCATACCATTTGGACTTGTAACATAAGCTATGGCAATTTTTTTTTAAATATACAAAGTGATGACCTAAAACCCAATTAAAAGGACTTACTTTTTTTGAAGTAAATGTTAGGTTTAATGAAGCGCATAAAATAAAGTCACATTCTGCACTATCCGGTGTTAACATTTTACCTTTGAAATAAAGAAATATTACTTCTCCAATTAGGTTGCAATGTCAAACTGTGACCTGCGTTTTACAAACATTCAAATTCTCAAACGTTTTAGTTTTTTTTCTATTTACATACACGGCGCACACACACGTACACTTCCTATTCAGGCAGAGCTGATGTATATTCAATTTCACAGCTATTACGGAGAAGTCCTGTGAATTATAAATGAGCTCGGAGGCATAGGTTACCAATACGTAACCCGCAATTGGAAATTCAATTACAAACACAATGGGAAGTCAAAAAGGCGTGGGGATACCATGGGCCCCGCCGACACAAGTACTTAGATCATGCAGCAAGGTGGAAAGCTGGCCATCGGTCTTTGCACCCGACAACAAAATAATGAAGTCGATGCTTTTTCGAAGAAGAAAAAAAACCTCCAAACTTCTTACCCGGAATTCTGACGATCAAGTGGCCTCAAATTGATCTGCGCAAAATAAGAATGTTCGGGAGACGATTCTTCCTACTTCCTGAGCCTTCACGGAGGCAAAAGGAATGACCTGGAAGCTGTGGAAAAATATTCCGAATGTCTGTGCCTTTGTGTCGATGAGACTCACCTGGTAATCATCTCCCAGAAGCGCTAAATTCATCATATTATGTGAGCCTTCTTGTAGCTGAGAGAAAAAAACCCCAACAGCTATGTCGTATTCTTCACTGTGCAGGGCCATGTGTTGTCCAGAAAGGGCTCACAGTCCAGGCGTGCTCGCACGCTTGGACCCGGGGCAAGGGCGATGTGATGCAGCGTTTCCACTGGCATTAAAACATCAGAACCAAGACGAGCTGAGACTTTCCTGGAATGGTCTGATACCGCCAAGTTCTTATCCTCATCTCATGGACCTGTGGTCTCGGATTGGTACGAAAAAACAGGGCATTTTATAGGCAGAAGAAGAAGGGAGAACTACATGATATTATTTGGGTCTTTCGGTAAAGTCACGTAGATAGGTTAAAATTTATAATAAACAAAAAAACTACGACGTTTCGATAAAAACACAAGCGATCGTCATCTTTTTTCCTCCTGATGACGATTGTGTTGTGATCGAAACGTCGTAGTTTGTTGTTCATTTTATTATTAATTTGAACCTATCTACGTGACTTTACTGAAAGACCCAAACAATATGAATTCCTGCAGTCACGAAAGCTTTAAGTCAAGATAGAACTACATGATGTTTCAAGAAGACTTCCAGATTTTCTAGGACAGGTGGTGATCCTCGTCTCAACCTCTGCTCTCTGCCTCTATCCAGTGCCAGAGGTCTAAGTAAATATAGTTTATTTAAAACAAGGTTTTACGTGTTTGACTCAACTTACACTATCACGAGAAATAATCAGTTATTTTCATTTTCAGCAACTTTAATAATAATAATAATATATATACGGCCCTAAAGTCGATTCAGACTCAGGATCTCAGCAGTGCAGGCTCTAGCGCTATGAACTATTACACCGGTCACTCACTCGGGGATTTTATCAGCAAGTCTGGCTGCAAGTACATGGACTGCCAGCTCAACAAAATCTGCCTTAATCCTTAGGGGACAGAATATAAATATTGTTCCCAGGGCTAGCGGTGCCGACATCACTGGGCAGTCGTTTCTACCTGGGGTCTTGGTGAAGGTCACCCCCAGACCTTCTATCTCATTTGTCCTGAGCGGAGCTTCCTACGCACGTGGCTCGGTCTGCCCTGCTTTACTCGCCCTCCTTCTGGCCTCGTCCATTCATGTCTCCCCTTTGGGACATCTGTGCCCAGGACTCTACAGATAAACCAACCCAAGAAACCAAGTAACTCTAAGCACCTGAAAACAGCATTTGGGGTACCAAGAAGGGATTATCAGAACTCTTTACCAGAGCTTAATAGGTGCCAATTATTACTTGCTCAGAAAAGCCACACTTCAGTCACGACTCTTTTGCTCAGGAGGGTCCTGCATTGGGATGTTTGGCCAATTACATGAGTAAATATTTGGTGTGCTGGAATAACTTCAGAACCCAGAAGGGGATTACACTCGACACTGCCATCTGCTGGTCACACCTCCAGAACCCGGACCTGCAACACCAGGCGAGACCTGGCGGATTACTCGTCCAGTTCGTAAGCGAGCTCAAACTCTGTTCAGCTTCTGAGGTGTGACAAGACAGGGCACATTCAGGGTGACTTGGTTGGAGGCGAACGCACGGCTCCTTTGGTCTGATTTCAGGCGGTGATGAAATTAAATTGTAATTAGCATCATTATATATTTTTACACCTGCGGGTTTTCTTTACATCGCAAGTAAAAATGGTTAATTCTGTTATCCGGCAAGCATGCCCAGCCGTGTTTCTAATCTTCCCTCTGCCACCACGTGATATACCCAGGGAGCAAATGTAATTAACAGAATCTTGTTTCTGAACCTTTTTCCCATTACCGCAGGGAACAGACCTGTAATTTTTAATCAGTGATTATGGAAGTTTTTATTAAAAGGAATGAGTGGATAGAGATGGTGAGAAGTAGGAGGCGGGGGGGGGGGGATTTAAAAAACAGTATCTGGGTAACATCAATTTCCCTCTCCGAAGTCATTTGCTTGATAGAACTCGTTGAGTCAATGATGTCGCGTGAAACACGGCTTGGTTTGGTAGAATTGGGAGTGGTAGAGCATCATCGATTCGTCAATTCAATACCCATTCTTGAGCTAACAAACCACGTGCGTTTTTCAATCATCCGTATACTTTGTATGTACAACATAACGTCCTTGCCCGCACCTCCGATTAGCACCGCTGGCTACGTGCGGTGCGAAATAAGTTCAAGTTGAACAAACATAATGTACATACAGCAATGGGTTCACGCCTCCCGTGCAGCAATTGATGTAAAAAAAAAGGAGCAAAAGAATCTTGAAATCGAACCGTGACTCGCCCCCGCCCCAGCCGCCCCCCCCACAAGACCCCCCCCCCCACCGAGTCGTGACATTAACGGAATAGCCAGGAGATTAATCATTACACCTCAACTCATTATCAGAAGGAAAAGGTGCAGCCCAGCAATTGCTTGCTCAGGCCACCCGCTGGCAGAAAGGCCTCCTCCACGCTACACGGAGCTCTGGAGAGCCCGTCTCTCGTTGGGGTATTTTTTTTTCCCCTACTCTGTCCACCCTCGTGGTCAGACATCTCGGAAAAGGTGGGAGTGCCCACACCTTAGGCCCACCGTGCACGAATTGCCGATCGACGGTAATGGACCTATTTATACTGTTGGGTGGACAGAGGTGGGAGGGAGGGGGTTCAGAAACTTGCTCCATTGTTTTAATTCCTGGGCAATGAGGTGGAATTGAACCAGCGGCCCTCTAGACTGCAAGTCCAGCGTGCTGGCCATTACACGTGGCAGCATCCAGAGCTTCTTGGATGATAGCCAACACAAATGGTGTTTCTAAGCCCAAACACTTTGTCCGGTAGCGACATGATACTTTTGACAAATGCACAGGGTGCATATTCCCGCCGAGTTGCTTTGCCCAAAGGCACGGTAAACCTCACAGACAAAACAGACTTGTAAAGTAAAATAAATGAAGCCATCAAAAACTGTAACAGAATACGCACGCATGAACAATGGAGGTAATACAATACGCGTATAAATAACAAAAAAGGAGAAAAAAAATACATGTAACTGTTCAATCAGTGTAATGCTATTGGCTTTTATTTGTTGATGTATCGCAGCATGATGCAGGGGTGCACGCAAGAGCATTTGTCATTCCCACTTAAAGATTACAAACTTGTCAATAAGCAATTTATATCAACCCCTGTTGACATAGCACCTCCCTGAAACAGCACCGTGGCAGACCCAATAAGCAGCAGCGACTGCTTAATGTACACATACCTGTGCAGCCCTCTTTCACTCCACTGCTGGATGAGCACGATAATTCACCACGCACGCCGGTTGGTGAAGGCGAAAAGCACGAACATCAGAGCATAGTACGGCGCAACAATTGATTTTGCTGCAATGACCTCTGCTGACAATATTGTCCGTCAGCAGCCTATGCCACCTGTTATCCGCACGGTGGTCACCTCAGAACTATCCAGGCTCAACGCTGAAGAGCTTCTGAGGGTCTGAAGTGATCGGACTCATTTTGGGCGAATTGGTCATGGATAGCTGCTCAATACCACGAAAAAATAATACTCACGAATGAGAACATGGATGCAGGATTTGCAAATTACATTTTACAGAAATAACTGCTCACATCCAGCCTTTCAGATATCAAGGAACGACAGTAATTTTCAGGTAAAAAAACAATGACGTTTTAAGACAACCGTTTTCTTTTTAATACTTTACTTTGTATATCTATATATAAAAAAAAACTTTTCATATTTTATACCACTGGAGAGGTTTTTTTTTTTTACCCACAACGACGATACGTCCCATCGGCCCTTGAAGACACAGCAAGTCGTGACTGCTCTTTGGCAACTGCCGTGGACATTTGCTTGTGCCAGGGAGTATTCACATGTTTGTAACTCAGTTGCTTTCACTGCTTACAGGGAGAATAAAAGACAAGGCTGGCTGGGCACGAATGTGGAGCAGAAAGAACAACAATAAACTGAAGCTCAAATGTGAGGTGAGTGAGAATGAAGAGATGACGTGCAATTGGGAAACAAAACATTCGTTCACAAGTTTGCACTTCGGCAAAAGCCGAGATGTCAATAGACTTTTCGGTTGACAGCAACTACTACAACTCCGAATTTTTTTTAATTTAAAGCTTTCGTGACTGCAGTAATTCATATTGTTAGCTCTTTCGGTAAAGTCACGTTGAAGGGAAACAATAAAATACTAAAATATATATAAAACAATAAAAATTCTCACGACGTTTCGACCGTAACACAAACGGTCGTCATCAGGTGTGTCCGTTTGCATTAATTAATTTTTAAACGGTGTAACAAATACGGTGTAATAAATACACCGTTTAAAAATAAATAAATTTATGCAAACCGACACACCTGATGACGACCGTTTGTGGTATGGTCGAAACGTTGAGAATTTTTATTGTTATATATATTTTATTATTTTATTGTTTCCCTTCAACGTGACTTTACCGAAAGAGCTAAGAATACTACAACTCGCTTCATCGTTCATCATGGTCATTCACAGCCTTTGTCAATCCACTGATGAATGTAGGCCCTCTCCCACGCCGTGTCTGTCATGGGGGTCGTTGGGTCATATCTAGATTGAAAACTCATTTATTAATAACTGCTTTTTGTGGTGGTCCTTCCTCCGCACCCCCCGATTAGCACGGTTGGCTAAGCAGATTCAAGATACATGCATACTTAACCGCTGCACTCACTCAATCAAAAGCACCGTTTACACAGCACGTGGTCCAAGTTGTTTCTGACATTGACCCCACTGCCAACCTTTCCGAGGCCCCGCCGCATCATCTGCCAACTCTGGCTCTTACCAGGATAGCCACACGCCTTTCGCCTGCATCGTTGAGTCGAACACGAGGCCACCGCACGTTCTAAAAATGTCCGATTTGTTTGCTTGGGGCTTTCTAAATCCGATGTCGAGCGCAGCCAAAGCAGGACGCTTGGTTAGGGCTTCGCGGAGCGCACGCAAGGGTTAACGGCACGTTCATTTGCGCTAAGTCAACGGATCCTTCTGCCCCGCGCTAATGAAGCCTACATGTTTGTTAAGTATTAATGCACAGAGGAACACTGATTATCTTCCCGGGCAACGTTGGGCGCTGTACACAACCATCGGCGCTGCGGCGCTGCATCCTCCCCTCACAGGCTGGTGTGGACTTAATAGACCCCGCAAACTGGCTATTCTATGGCACTGTGGACAATTGGTGCAACAGCAAAATTACAGTGAATTCACCCCAAAAAAAGTCTCACTGGATCTCAACACAATTTTTCCGCAGGAGCGGCGATGTTGCTATGTATGACCCCGGACGAGTGATTTGCAGGTATTTATTTTCAGCACTGCAATATTTGGTCAATACCGGTTACATTGTTTGTGTGTGTTTTTTTTAGTTATCGGAAGAAAACCCGGAGGACCCGGAGGAAACTCATGCAAAACAGAACGTACAAACTCTGCACACAAGGGAAGTGCCTGAACCAGGGATCGAACCCCATGCATTTGCTGTGAGGCCACAAGCACTTCCGATACGCCATCATACCACCAGGAACGGAGCTGATAGCTTCCTCATCAAAGTCAGCTGCACCTCCCGGGCTCAACACGGTCACAAAATAAAACTAAATGCAAACAGAAGCAGACAGAGGTAAATGTTTGGAATTACACTGAGAGGCAGAAGATGAACACGTGGATCAGAGAACACACGCAAGTCAGAGACGTCATAATGAAGTGTTTTGATAAGTAAGTGTGCTTTGGGCAGAACGTGAGATGGAATGCACCCCCTGACGATGTCCACCAATGGGAGCAATTACATCAGCCTGTGTGCAGGTGCAAAATGGACTGCTGCATCGCAAGAGATGGTGACGGCTTTGGGAGGCCTTTATCCAGCAGTGCGTACATCACGGCTGATGAAGATTAAAAATTCACAGACCTTTTTTTCATTCACTGCGGGATGCAGTTCTCCCCTTGTAGTGTCAGCCAGCTTGGTTGTTTGACCATACTTCACCACAATGGCGGGAGACAAACGATATGAATCGATGAATCGCTGCATCGTTAAACCTCTACTGTCACCTCCAGGGCCGAGATTTTTACTTCACAAACCTCCCCAGATTGGGAGTGCTATAATAATCCACATCTCCATCATCAGTAGTTCCCCATGATCTATCCACTGCTGCACGAATTCCTCCCAAAGCCACCGCAATCTCCAACCGTCTTGCGATGCGGCAACACTCCGTCTTGTTCACGCCGCATCATTAGACTCAAAACGGAGGTCGGGTCTTGGCAAGGGGTCTGGTGGGAGCCGGTTTAAAACGGACGCGCGTACACCGGCACTGCGGGACCACCAACCACAGCTTCCCTGAGTAAACAAGCTGCCAATTACCCAAGTCGTGTACTGCCAGTTCTCGCTACCCAATGCCCCGTGGAGTCCCTGGGGGGGGCATACCTATGGTAGACGGAATCAGGCCCAATTGCCTGCAGTAGGCCGTGTGCCCGCTGCTGCCGGGAGCCGTAAACCAATCCAAAGGGTTCATAAATACATTCATCGCTTTAAATCGCGAGTGAGGCAATGGGGATTAATTATGACTTATGGATTAAAGAGAATGCAATTTTAAGCCAGCAATGCGTAATCAGGGACGGGCGACTATTGCGGGGCAATTTGCACCACGCCGTATTGTGCTTTCAGCTCGGATGTTAAATTGAAGCGCACGGCAGCGCGGATAATCACATTGAAGGATTTCTGAACACCCCGCCCCCCCCCCCCCCCGAGTTGGTGATGTATTGAGGATGTCAAATGAGCGAACGTTTTGCTGGGGCTGTCGCACATTTCCTAGGATGCATAGCTCCCCGACGGGCTGTGGCCAAAAGGTTAGAGGTTAAAGGTATTCAGAAACCAACGCCCGGGGAGAAGACGCAAGGGTGATTGAGGACCAATGCTCCTCGAGCTCCTCCAGGTGACACGAAAATATAGAGTGTCCCCCCTCCTCCTCCTCCCCCCTCTCTCCTTGGAGAGAATCCAACAGGCAAATCCGCAGACAGATTGTGAGGGGTCCCTGATCCGTGTTTCAGGAGAGTGCAAGTGCATCAAGAGCTGGGACGGCGAGTTGAAACGGGCCTCTTAGAAAGACGAAGCCAGATCTTCGTCGCCTCTCTTCGTTTGTCGTCGATTACGGAGGGATCCCTTTGACGATGGCGGCCAAAGCCGACACGAGGCCTCAAGCTGCTTCGAGTTACCCAACGAGTCGCGTGCTGAGCCGTTTATAATCGGTGGAGTGGTCGATAATTATTATCCAAGCGATTGTGATAACCCGGCTTTACAGTGCACGCTTCTTGGGGAGTTTTGCACCACTTGATTACAAAATTACACATGGGCAGGTGCCAGCGGCATTGGTTTTTGGATGGCTGTGGAAATAGATGATTTAGGTTATTTGGCTGCTATAAACTTCCACGTGATAAGCCACTTCAATGAGCTACCTTTCCTATACTTTGCATTCCTATCGTGTTTGTATTGTTATAACTTTCTGACCCACCCCTACTGGACATCTGTGAAAAAAGAGCTTTATAGCTCATCGTATTTCTTCAGTGTGAATAAAGATTCTGATTCTGATAACCTCCAATGCCTTACGACGTGCAGTCAAAACCCGAAGTGAACTCAGAGCACTCTGTATCGGAGGACGCACCGAGGTTCCTGTGCATGTTTTCAGGAAGCTCAATATGCCAATCCCGGGGTCTTAACACAAGAGGTGTAATGATGCATCAATTAATAAAAGCCACTGCATGCATTCACCGCAAGTGAGTGTGGCCGCTAGTGGCTGGGACAATTGGGTTCAGTCGTTACACCTCTAACACCACGATCTGTTCCTGCTTCCAATTTCCTTTCTGTTGTCTTTTTATTATGAAGTGCTCATTCGTGTCAAGATTAAATAAACAACGAAAGATAATGCCGTGACACGGGTGACAGCTAAATATAAATCCACTGCTTGACGGAGGAGCAAGCTGGTGAGAAATTGGTCTCGCGCGGTGGCGATGATGCACGGCTACCTGGGAGGCAGGGTTGGTGGATCACAAAGAGATGGAAATATAATAGCATACCGGAGCCTGAATGAGATTAAAATGCACGTAAAAAAATGTAGAGCAGGTGCAATAGTGTGACATTTGAAATGATCAAATTTGTAAGCACATCTGCAATTACAGATTTCAGCCTGTTTTCTTCAAAACAGGGATGAAAGAAATGTGGTTTATGCCGCACTCGAAAAACTAATTATACTTGAGTGAGACAACCCACATACTACCTTCTCAAATTCATTAAAAAAAATTCAAATGCTGACGATTCGGTTCATCACCTGACATCAACGACGACCTAATGTCAGATGAGCTTCAGAACAATGTCGGTGATCCGCCAGCTTGCTGAACCAATGCTGCCGACGGGACGCGTAAAACATACTTTGTGCATGCAGGCGTTTACCTGCTTGTTGCGGCAAAGGATATAATGACCGCAGTGGCAGGTTGGGTGAGCGAGAATGAATTCAAGAATGACTGCAGCAGCTTCCGAAGTAACGTGGGGGAACCTGCTGCTGTGGCGGCGGCGGCGGCTAATGTCGCAGACACCACAGCTGCAAACGCGGCAAAGCAATTTACAGCTCAGCACCAAAATCCACCCAAGGGCCTGCCAGCGGGAGCCAGTGGTGTCGCATGGGGCGTAACCAACGGCAACAACTGGCAGCCATATTCCAAATTACAAAGAGGAAAAAATACCTCCCGTCGTTAATGATTCTTAATGGTTCTGTTGTCGTTCGCCATTGTCAAATACCGCGGCCGTACCACATGTGTGTGTGTGTGGGGGGTGTGTGGGAGCGGTAGTAGTGGGGAGCGGTGGGGGAGCGGTGGTGCAGCGGTTAGCGCCACGCTGCGCTACGAACACGGCGACCCGAGTTCGATTCCCGCTCACGGCCAACACCAAGTGACGATTATCTGAACCGGTGCTGGGCCTCCCCTAGGTCGACTCAGCCTCAAATGAGTACCTGGTGCGGTGTCTAAACATCGCCACTAGGGAGGCAAAGACGGCTGGGCGTGGTGCTGACCAAACCACCTTGTCATGCGCCCCATTGACCATCGTAGGTGCTCCCTATCAGCTTTTGAAGATCCGTGAAAAAGAGCTTCATAGCTCATTGGATTTCTCCAGTGTAAACAAATATTCTGATTTTGACTCGCCCCAACATTCTGCTAAAGGCTACATGGGGGGGGGGGGGGGGGCTTTTAATCTTGCGGAGGCTGCCAAGTTGGAGGTGACATGCAGGCGGGTACCTGAAGGCAGCAGGTTTGATTCCAGCTATTTGGATGAAGCCGTTCGTAAGGGCAGGGTGCAATGTGCCGAGTTCACATTGACTGACAGCAGCGTGGGTGGAAGACCCAACCTCATACAATCCCATCCGTCCAGCACAGAAGTATACCTTAACCCTTGCAAGAGAGTGGGTCCACTGATTAAGGCATGCACGGACTCACACCCCCTTCAGTGGCTTGATGAATTGTAACGATCTTGGGGCCATGATTCGATTCCAGAATAGGTTTATTTTTTTCACCTCATATGGCACTCTTGAGATCCATTAAGGGTGCCTTATAAATCTAAGTTATTATATATTCTTAATACGTTATTTGTATTGTTTATTGTTTGCCGTGTCTCGCGTGCACAGCTTTATTTGCTCCATCAGCCAAAATGCAACGTTGACGTAACCTCAGAAAACGCTTTCCGTAAATTGTAAATAATTGTACGCGATGCATTTGTCGCGAGCACAAGAATTGGTTTCATTCGATGGATCTGTGCCTCGTTACACGAACATCCATTTCATTCAGTCGAAAGCCTCCCCCTGCCTAAGCGCGGCTTCTGGGGGTTATTCGACAACACTTTTAGCAGGCAGGTCCAGCATGGGTTGCTGGAGGCGAGGAGCATAGACCCTGGAGCATAGTAGCGTAGAACTCTGCGATTCGATGCGCTACCCCCCCCCCCCCCCCGCTAATGACGCAGGCTCAGAACAGCCTACGGTGGTCGAATCATCTCAGCACTGCGGATGTTCAACTCCTGCTCAGCTGCCAAGATTCTTGGCGATAACGGGGCGCTCAGCAGGGCTACAGCCTGGCTACTAATGACACACGCCGGTCATTTATTCAGAGAATGCGCAAGAGCACTCGGCGGTGGCTAATAAAAGAGAGAGTTAATCGCGCTGAATAATGACCACGGACGATATTCAAGTTTTATTTGGGTTTTTTGTTGTTGTTGTTGCTTTTGCCGGGGTTGCATGCGGTACACGAATGGAAATATGTACACTCTGTTGGCCTCGACAAACGCAGCTCTCGCCGGAGGCTCGGTGGGTACGGCCGAGCGCTAATTTGAAAAGCGCCCCCGCGCAGGTAAGGGGACGCGGGGGGGGGGGCGGCGGCGGTGAGAAGGGTGGTGATACATTACTCACTGCCAGCCGGTAATTTAGGCGTGACGTGAAGCGACAATGACCTTCGCCGGCGAGGCACGCTCTGCGATCTCGCCTGTGCTACGTGCGAGCGCGTCGCTAGCGGGAACTGGCGGTCAGGCCGTCATCTCTTTTGGGCTCGTTGTAGGCGCGTGTGCGTGTTGTACAGGTGCTCGCTAACAGCACTTGCCCCAACAGTATGTCAAGGCTATATAGGGGGGGGGGTTCTTTGTCTCTGTTGTATGGGGAGAGTGGGAGTGCAGCGGTTAGCACGCTGCGCTAAAAATAAAGAGTTCGATTCTCGCACAAGGCCAACACCAGTGACGATTATATCTGAACTGGTCCTGGGCCATCGCTAGGTCGAGTCAGCCTCAAATGAGTACTAGGGAGGCAAAGGCGACTAGGCGTAGTGCTGGTGCACTTGCCCCAACATTCTCTCAAGGCTACAGGGGGAATATTTGTCTTCGTTTGTAAGATAAAGGTGCAGCCCTGCAATTGCTTGCTCATGCCACTGCTGAAGGACAATGGCTTCTTCTTGCGTATGGCTGCATTTGATTAGCAACGATTAAAAATATAAACCTAGTTTGTGAAGCCACGAGATAGTTTGTCTGCCAAGCAAAGACCTACAGTGAGGGAAAAAAGTATTTGATCCCCTGCTGATTTTGTACGTTTGCCCACTGACAAAGAAATGATCAGTCTATAATTTTAATGGTAGGTTTATTTGAACAGTGAGAGACAGAATAACAACAACAAAATCCGAAAAACGCATGTCAAAAATGTTATAAATTGATTTACATTTTAATGAGGGAAATAAGTATTTGACCCCTCTGCAAAACATGACTTAGTACTTGGTGACAAAATCCTTGTTGGCAATCACAGAGGTCAGACGTTTATTGTAGTTAGCCACCAGGTTTGCACACATCTCAGGAGGGATTTTGTCCCACTCCTCTTTGCAGATCTTCTCCAAGTCATTAAGGTTTCGAGGCTGACGTTTGGCAACTCGAACCATCAGCTCCCTCCACAGATTTTCTATAGGATTAAGGTCTGGAGACTGGCTAGGCCACTCCAGGACCTTAATGTGCTTCTTCTTGAGCCACTCCTTTGTTGCCTTGGCCGTGTGTTTTGGGTCATTGTCATGCTGGAATACCCATCCACAACCCATTTTCAATGCCCAGGCTGAGGGAAGGAGGTTCTCACCTAAGATTTGACGGTACATGGCCCCGTCCACGTCTCTTTGATGTGGTGAAGTTGTCCTGTCCCCTTAGCAGAAAAACACCCCCAAAGCATAATGTTTCCACCTCCATGTTTGACGGTGGGGATGGTGTTCTTGGGGTCATAGGCAGCATTCCTCCTCCTCCAAACACGGTAAGTTGAGTTGATGCCAAAGAGCTCCATTTTGGTCTCATCTGACCACAACACTTTCACCCAGTTGTCCTCTGAATCATTCAGATGTTCATTGGCAAACTTCAGACGGGCATGTATATGTGCTTTCTTGAGCAGGGGGACCTTGCGGGCGCTGTGGGATTTCAGTCCTTCACGGCGTAGTGTGTTACCAATTGCTTTCTTGGTGACTATGGTCCCAGCTGCCCTGAGATCATTGACAAGATCCTCCCGTGTAGTTCTGGGCTGATTCCTCACCGTTCTCATGATCATTGCAACTCCACGAGGTGAGATCTTGCATGGAGCCCCAGGCCGAGGGAGATTGACAGTTCTTTTGTGTTTCTTCCATTTGCGAATAATCGCACCAACTGTTGTCACCTTCACACCAAGCTGCTTGGCAATGGTCTTGTAGCCCATTCCAGCCTTGTGTAGGTCTACAATCTTGTCCCTGACATCCTTGGAGAGCTCTTTGGTCTTGGCCATGGTGAAGAGTTTGGAATCTGATTGATTGAGTGTGCTCCTAATCTCAGCTCGTTACCTGTATAAAAGACACGTGGGAGCCATAAATCTTTCTGATTGAGAGGGGGTCAAATACTTATTTCCCTCATTAAAATGCAAATCAATTAATAACATTTTTTACATGCGTTTTTCTGGATTTTTTTGTTGTTATTCTGTCTCTCACTGTTCAAATAAACCTACCATTAAAATTATAGACTGATCATTTCTTTGTCAGTGGGCAAACATACAAAATCAGCAGGGGATCAAATACTTTTTTCCCTCACCGTTATCATTGAAGGATCTGAGATGCCAAGTGTTCATGTGATACATCGTCTTTCGCAACCACAGTCACATTTTCCATCGGTCGAGTAGATCCCGATCGACCGTAAGATTTCACAAACAGCTTAGCACTGTTTGGCTGCCGGGAGCTCTAGAGGGTATTTGGCCTACTTTTCCACGCTGGTCACACACCTTGGAAGAGGTTTGTACCCAGACGTCATGCCACCACATGTGACCTGCCCGATACACAAACTGTGGGGATGATGTTCATTTGTACTGCGGGGCAGAGGAGGAAATTTATGAAACTTGCCCAATGTTTAAACCAGCGTGCCCGGGAGGTCGAAGCGGCGACCTCTGCATTGCGAGTCCAGCGTGTGCAAATCATCGTGCCGTGGCAGCAAATATATAAGTAATAATAACCCGAGTTCTCAATTACCGTCTACTAGCAATTCTCACCAGCCCGCCGTGACAGACATGCACGATTTTCATTTCAATTCACGTTTACATGAATACCTCCTGCTTTTCTGGAAATTGTTTCGTAGTTTGTTGGATTTTTTTTGTTGTTGTCAATAATTGAGGGGAGTGATAAGTGGTTTTAAGAAAAAACCAAAAACGTGCGGACGACAAATTGACGCAACAGACGGGTTGTGAAAATGGCTCGGGCAGTCTGCTTGCATTAACAACAAATAATTTAACACTAAAGCAGATCTATAAATGACTTCTCACCCAACCTGCCAATCTTCAACACCCCCCCCCCGCTTCCGTAGAAAATAAAATCTTTAATAATAATTTTCACATGACGTCAGTGAGGATAATACCTGTGTGCGTGGGGGCTCAATAAATATTAATAAAAATAAATAATCCGAGGCGGTAAAAACATGTAACCAACATTTATTTTCCGCGCCGGTAATGCATCACTGCTAGAATGAAAAATCGCAGCTGTACGAGGTGTCGGGTTTTATCCTAACTTAACCGATATAAATTAAAGTCACAATCGAGGAATGTCATGTTTTATTCACAGGATTGCCATTATATTGCGGGTTTTTTTCGATGCCATTATACTTTGTAATACATATTGTTAAATTTCTAAATGATAAAATATTGCCATTTTCGTCGTCTCGGCCTAGGTTTTGTGGGATTGCACGTCATGCCTGATTTTCGGCTGATTGTGCCTCTGGCCAGGAGCCGTAATAAGAAAAATGTTGCGCAGT